GCTCGGCTCTATTGGATTTCGTTGTCCCGGGGATGAGCTGGGCTGGGGGAGCCAGTGAACACGTCGCGGTGTCCGTTTCCATCCGTCCACCTTGCTGTGAATATGTTGGAATAAGGAAAAGAGTTCTGAGACTGTTCATCCCAGATGGTTAGGATGTTATGTATCCTCAAACTATGAACGAGCTGCAACAGGATCCGAAAAACACAGGCAAGTTTCCCTGACAAGTTATAGCCCAATGACGGGCAACTAGAGGGACGGTGCAGTGAATGGAATGAAGTGTGACTTTGTTTTCTAGTGTGTCAGTGTGTGTGGTGGTGAGCTGGGGTGTGTGTGTGTGTGTGTGTGTGTGTTAGAGGAATGCAGCAGCACGGCCAGTCCGACGCTGTCTGTCTGTAACCTCCATACAGCCACAGGGAGACAGTCGGGCACGGAAAGGCAGCGGCTGGCGGTCGTTAAGGTAAAGATAAGGCGCATTATTCCTGTCGGTTGATTTAGCCATTCGCTTGCTTTTCATAACCGAATAAAATGATTTCGGTGGATTTGGCCACCTCTCCGTTGAGCTCTATAGAATAATCGCGGCTTGCTTGTGTTGCTTTTGCACCACAGAAAATGAAACGTGTGTTTCAGTCATGAAGCACAACTTGTGGCTTCCCAGGAGTGAAGCCTCCTCTGCGGGCTGTAGAACAGCACATGACGCGTCTGTGGCGCACACGTTTGCCCGATAAAAGCGCTGTCCATCACACACTGCTCTGCCTGGGCCCCTGTAATGAGCTACATATCAACAGAAACTTGTGTTAGAGCTGGTGAATGCAGGCCACTGTGCACACTCTCAACATTTCTGCAGTGTTTGTGTTGTTGCAGTCATAATTCCAAAGGAAAGGGGCATACAACTGGCATAGGCTTACTGGTGTATGGGTAACGCAGTATTTCTCAGAGGTACCTCTATGATATGCGTTCAGTTACGACTAAAAGCTAAATGTAACAAAATGAGCCAAAATCACAAATGCATCCCTGAGTAGTGTCTGAACACAAAGGGCTATACACACCTTTACAAAAACAACATGCAGTACAGCAAATTCAGTAACCACAAATAAGTAAACATGACTCAGATAGTTTCAGTGGGCGCAATTCGGTTTTAAGATACCGGGGGTTACTATGCAGTGCTGAGATGCAGTGTAAAACAGTGCAAAATATTGTTGGTTAAGATTATTTTAGACAAAAATATAATGTATGCAGATAGGAACTTCAGCTGCATATCATAATCCCTAGGAGAGGTCTCTTACCCAAACCTTAGAAACTCAGCTTTAATGCATGTCCTCTTTGTCCTCATCAACCACTGTTGCTTTTTTCTCAGTTTACCAACAGAAGCCAGTCCTAACGTCTAAACATTCAATATGCACAGCTTAGTTTTCCTATGAGACATCATCTTGGTGCTGCACTGTCTCTCATTAGGACTGATATACAGCCTCAGTATTCCCTGAGGACCAGGTACATTATTTTGGCATATTAAACACTGTCATGTCATTTTCCAGTTCTTATTAACCAGCAAACCTAGTTAGTTGATTGTTGGCCTCCTCAGTGGAACAGGCTGTAAACACATCACTGACACAAGGCTAACATGTTAGAACAGTTATCTGTTCACATCCGACAGACACAGGGCAACATAAGCATTTATTTGGAGTGATGTCTGTTTTCACCTGGTGAATGGAAGTCCAGTATTCATTCTCCTTTAGCTCTGTTTTGGTTTCTACTAACTCCTGAAAACTGTATCTGGCTCTTTAGCTTCTAAATGCTCCACAATGGTCACCAGCTTGTTGTTAAACATTGAAGTTCCATCCAGCCATTTGCTGTACCTGCTTATCCTTGAAGGCCACAGCTGTCATTCACCAATCTACATATGCCTTTGTCACATCCACATCCACTCACTCTCACATTCACATCTACAGGCAACACAGAGTCACCAGTCAACCTAAGCTGCATGACTTTGGACTGTGGGAGGAAGCTGGAGCACCTGGAGAGAACCCATGCAGCCATCAATGCAAGCCTTACACAGAAAGGCCTTGGGCCAGCCTGGTCTCGAACCCGGAACCCTTTTGCTGTGATCTAACAGTGCCAACCACTGCTCCACTATGCCATCTCAATAAATCCACTAATTGGCCACTGTTATTTGCCACTGCTGAAAGCATGGCACAATATAATTCACACACAATAATCTATGACCGCCAGATTTCCTTCTGCATGTTCATGAATACTGAAAAAACAATTTGACAGTTTTAAACTAAACTGTTGTTTGTCCTGTATAAAAAAATCAAATCAAATCAATTTTATTTGTATAGCACCAAATCACAACAAAGTCATCTCAGGACACTTTACAAAGTAAGGTCTAGACCTTACTGTTATCAATATTATTACATAGGGAAAACCCAACAAATCCCCCTGAGCAGCACTTGGCGACAGTGGGGAGGAAAAACTCCCTTTAACGGAAGAAACCTCCGACAGACCCCGGCTCTTGGTGGGCGGCCTTCTGCCTCGTCCGGTTGGGGTGAGTGGATAGGGGAGAGAGTAAAGAAGAAAAGCAACAAGACACAACAAACAATCAAACACTGGTCAGGTTGATGTGACTGGTGACTGGTCATCAGAAACATAGAGCTCCAGAGCCAGGGTAACCTGCAGAAAGGTACAGGGAGAGAGAGAGAACACACTACGGGAGAGAGGAGACACAAAGTTAGTGATGTGTAGTGGTGGCATATAGAAGCATCGAGAGAGAGAGGAAAGGAGAGGAGAGGGGAGGGGAGAGAAACTCAGAGCATCATGGGGCCCCCCAGCAGCCTAGGCCTATAGCAGCATAACTAAGGGAAGGCTCAGGGTCACCTGATCCACCCTAACTATAAGCTTTATCAAAAAGGAAAGTCTTAAGTCTAATCTTAAAGGTAGAGAGGGTGTCTGCCTCCCGAACTGAGACTGGGAGTTGGTTCCATAGGAGAGAAGCTTGATAGCTAAAGGCTCTGCCTCCCATT